CGAGTGGTCCCAGCGATAAAAGATCCCGGTCATGAGTCAGAACAGCAGGCCCTAAGTAAAACTGCATCCAATTTCTGTGTTTTGTTGGCAGTCGGCGCGTGACTCTTAAGCTCCGCCCACAACACGCCTCCAGGAGCTCGGCTGTTTTTGGAGAGGATTGTAAAGCTGTATCTTTCTTTTATAAATCTGATAAATGTCCCCTTAATGTTACCGAATGAAATGTTGACTCAGGAAGTGGTTTAGGACTGTGCAAGCTTTGGGGGTGTTGATGGAAGGAATTGACTCCATCTATGTTTTGGTCATTGCTCTGAATCTGATCCTTTTTACGAAACTTACCCACATTCAAGTGTTAATAAAAAAAGCATGAAGCTAGAATAAAACCTTTTTTTTAAGCAGAAGATATTTGCTTCCTTTTGACATACATTCTGGGGGCCATGAAATGTTTGTGAAAATGATAAAAAATGCCGGCAGTGGCTGGCAACTTATAAAAAAAAAAAACTCTAGTGGGGAAAGAGTTAAAAATTGCTGTTAGTGCTCCGAGCATCAGAAATTAGTGATCTATGATATTGTATTATGTTGAATATAATTTTGGATATAAATTTTGTGTCTATTTGTTAATGAGGGATTTGTGGACACATCAGTGATTTAAGATTTGTGAAGTAAAAATTATATTTTTAATTTTTAAGTATAAATTTAACATTAGACCCTTGGGGTAAGATGGGCCGCCAGTTGGGCACATAATGCCCCAAGTGGCATGTTGTTACTATTGCTATTATTTTAAAATGTATTACTTGTTGTAATTAATGGGGTTATTATTTAATGTTTCCATTAATTAGATGTACATTTCAGACATCCTTCACTTTCATTAAAACCTGTAGGTTAATTGAGTGAAATCATTCAGTTTACATTCAGAGTGTTGCTATTATGACATATGTCACGAATCCTGTCCATGGACTTCCGTTCATTCACCACCAGAGGTCACCCTTTCCATTACATTGACTCTCGCACAACACAAACTGTTGCATAGCACCCCGGACTACATATCCCATCATTCATTGCACTGATTACACACTGCACTGATTGCACTGATTGCACACAGCTGTTTCGTATCACTCCCTCACTATATAACACCCACTCAAACAACCATTCTCCGCTGAGTATTGTTTAGCCGGTACCCCATTCCGAGTCTCTGTGTTTCCTTGTTTTGCCTTGCCTTGCCTGTTCTCTCGGTTTCTGATCTTTGCCTGTTTTCCTGGATTTTTCCCTCTCGTCTCGCCCCTGTGATTCTGTCTGCCGATCAGTGACCTACGCTAGCCCTAGGACTATTCTTGTGTTTTGCCCGCCATATACCTGTTTGCCTTTGATCGACCCTGCCTGTGTTTGACCACTTCTCTTGTTAAATAAAGCTTGCACATGGATCCGCACGCCTCTCGTCTCGTCAGCCCCGTGACAGAATACTCAGCCCCACAAGGATCCAGCAGCTTTTCTAAAGGACTCTGGCCAGGTATGGACCCAGTCACCCAGCTACTACATCTTCGGCAAGGAGGCCTTTCTATTGAGGAGTATGTTCACCGGTTCTGTGTGCTATCATATCAAGTTCCACTGTATGATGAAGTTTTGTTTAAAGACTTGTTCCGTTTTGGACTGGATGAACCCACGAAATCTTGGTTACCTGGAGGGGAATGTAACTGTAGTTTAATGGACCTTATGGATTATGCTTTGTTGTCTGTTGGCTCTTTGTTTACTGTGGGTGTCGCGGAGGAAGAACGCGACACAATATCTGTGACTGAAATGGCGGCTGTACCAGAGCACGCTCACAAGATGGCGGCGACAGCGGAGCACACTCACAAGATGGCGGACACAACAGCATCCAGTCAGGTCACAGCTGATCTTCCTGAGTCAAGTCTAGTCATAGTTGATCTTCCTGAATCGAGTCTAGTCACAATTGATCGTCATGAGTCAAATCGAGTCACAGTTTATTATCATGAGT